CTCTCTCTTCTTTAGCAAGCTTATAAAAGACTGATTTTCTCTTCTCTATCTTTTTATCCCTCTGTTGTTTTTATCCCTCTATCGTTTTATCCCTCTATCTTTTTATCCCTCTGTTGGGATGTACACAATGGAACATCTCTTGAGTATGTTCTATGCTGACTGAACAGGCATTCAATTACTTATCTCTCGAACGCCCACGCTCATTGTAATGTGTCAGATGGTATGAGAAAAGATAAAGTAAAAAAGATAGCTAGCTATTCTGCAGATGGTACAGTGCCGAAAGAGTGACAAAATGTTACTCCCCTCCCCCCCATATTGGAATTTTATTCCCATAGGCGCTTCCAGTCTTTGGTGAGATTGGAGATGGTAATACCTTTTCACAACCTTCCTCATTTGTGTAGATCCCCTGGTCTATGGTGTAAAGAGGGTAATTATTTACTGGAAAATACCCTGGATTTTTGTTTGCCCAAATGGAGCTAATGCAGAAAAGGAAAGGAACCATAAGCTTCCAGGGCATTGTGACAGAGATGCTTTGCCTCAAACTCCATACCAAACTAACATACCATCCCTGGCTTTAGTTCTTTTGTTAAACACCAAAGAATCAACATACTGTGCAGGGTAAAATATATAAAAGTCTTCAGTAATTCAGGGTAGATGAAGTCTTTAAATGTTTAAATTATTTTTTTATAGCAAAACTTGGTCATTTACTCCCTAATGCCTGGTACTTGCATAAAATCTGAGGGCATTAATGAAACTGTGGGCCGTGGCAGGGCACTGTTTGTGCCTGCCACTTTAAGGGGCTAGAAGGCCACAGCCAGCAGGTGGCTGATTAGGGCAGCCATTTTAGACTCAGGGCTGCCTATATAAATAGGGCATTTTGCTACCTAGGAGGCCAGGCAACAACATTGCCTGGCTATAAGTATCATCTGGAGGTAAGGGAGGAGCTGTATGGGGTGGTCAGGAGGCTCCTGGTCCTGGGCATGACCTAAAACTGCACTGGAGTGCAGAATGGGAGGGAGCCTCATGCAGCTTGTCTGGGGGACAGGGAGGGGTTGGACTGGCTTCCTGCTGCTGCATGTGCACCTGGAGGTGTGTGTGGGGGGAGTAAGTGCCCCTTAGATCTGTATATGGGGCAGGTCTGGACTGCCTGCTGCAGGCTTGGGTTCCTTGTCCTGCTGCCCTCCCCTGAGGGCTCTGTAGCCTGGTGGGCAGGACCTAGCATGATGGGGCTGGGCAAAGAAGCTTGTTGTGGCCACTGTGAGCTCTGCGCTGCCCTGGTGTTGTGTCCCCTGCCCGCTTCAGAGCAGCAAGGGGCATAACGCCATGCCACTACCCCTGTTGCTTTGGGGTGGGCAGGGGGCACATTGCCAGGGCAGCACAGGGCTCGCAGTGGTAGCAATGAGCTTCCCCACCTGGTCCTGCCCACTGGGCTGCAGAGGCCCTGGGGGAACGCAGCACAACAGAGAGCCGGACCCTGCAGAGGGCAGCCTGCACCCACCTCATTCACAGATCTGGGGGACACGTGCTGCCCCCCCTCCCCCCCGTCTCTCACTTGAGGCTGCAGCTGCCACCTTCCGTGGGCAGCAGCTAGGGCTCGGGCACTGCTGTAGGGGGACCAGGGGGCTGCAGACCCTGGTCCCATAGCCCTAGCAGCTGGGGGGCCCCCTCCAGCGAGGCCTGGACCTGCATCCTAGTGATTTAAGGAGGCAGGGGGAGCTCTGACCTTTTTCCATGATAAAAACCCAAAATCAAATACCAAAATTTATAAGTATTTAGAATTTTTATTTTACAAATAGCATTTGGCTAGTTTTTTAACAACAAGGCACGGCAAGAAAGAACTAAAGGAAAGGTATCTGAGAGAACTATATGGTCACGAGGGGGCATCATCATCACTGCCTCTGGAGACTCATCCTGCTACTAGACAAGAGAAGAGAAGGCACTGGAAGAATTTGTCGGCTGCTATAATCCAGTGTAATGTCAGTGTTACTGTCTTGTATCGTGCTGCCATTTTGGCTGGGGATGAAATGGGGACCTGATATAGGGGTATAACAAGGTTGAAGGAGATGCAGCACTAAACACCATAGTAGAGGGTATTGTGTAGGAGAAACCTAAAGTCGTAGTTGAAGGACTTGGATGGATATCAAAGGGGAGAGGGAATAAGCAGTTTGTATATTTTCCATCGTGGTTGCTATTTTGAGCAACGGGTGGGTGGGAGTTAGAGCCCAGGATGAGGAGGAAAAAGAGTAAACTAACAAGGTGGTGCCTTGATAGTCCCTAGAACTTCCCTGTAATGGTACAGGCATTATTTAACACTCTATATTATAGTTACTGTAAGTGATTCCCTCTAGACTTTGGGTCTTTTTGTAGGTGGTCTTCTGACTGATCTGAAGGGCTTCTGGGTCTCAAGCACTGTCTGACTCTTGGTCCACTGCATTAATAAGATCTTGGATGAAACTCCTTTGGGTCTTGCTTGACCCTCTACAGAGGTGTTGTCCAGTAGTCTCTACAGTTGAGATGTTTGTGTAGAGGCATCTGGTTACAAATATACTCTGTCCTTCGCACTCCTATGTCCCAGCTAGAACTCCTTCCTGCCTTAGTGTGGTCCTGACTGTATCTCCACACCTACACTCAGTTGGAGAATTGCTGGCATTTCTGTGCATAGCAGAGACCAGAATTTAGATAGGCCTGTACATATACATACTCCTCGCCTCAGACATAACAAAGTCCTTGACCTTACCCTGAAGTATGCTGGACTATGCTGAAGTACAAGGCTTAATTGCTCTAGGAGGAGTACAACATAGCTGGAATCACAAAGAAAGCACCCAGAGTGACAAGCTTTAAATAGAAAAGTGACATCTGGAGCAGTAAAGAAATCTATACCAGTAAGGAGACTTGACCAATAGTATAAGAGCTGTTTTATGACAGCAATTTAAAACCATTTAAACAAGGTATTATTAAACCTACTGTCTAACACTAGGTATGGGTGCAAGTCCCTTTAACATGACATAACACAAAATGCGCTTACAATAAACTTCAAGTATAAATCGTTAAACTTTATAAGAAAACGTTTATACCTAAAGATCTAGAATTAAAGCCAGACAGGAAAGTTGGGCAGGCAACGCCCTGTCATCTCATGATACTTAAGAGTACAGCTTAGCTGGAGATCCTGTCATGTACAATGACATGCATGTGCTATTAATTGAGATTCCATAACCTTATTAAACAGGAAATCTAGTTTATTTAAACTTGTGAAACTTGCACAAGTTTCACTCCTGCTGTGTCTTCGCAGAGTACACCAACCTCTGCTAATGCTGCAACTATACCCTGCCCCTTTGATCTCTTCACCAGAGCCTGAGTTGTAAAATGGAAAGAATGCAGGCAAAGTTTAATCCTGGTATTCCCTTATGAGTGCTATATGTTGATCTTGATTGGTATCTTTAGTATTGTTCTTTGTTATGATTGCATCCAATCATTTAGGACAATGCCAAGAATCCTGTATAGAAATGCAGTTATTTTTGCCAAGTTACTTCTACTTAGACCCTGAGGAAGGTCTTGACATATTCAAATCCTTTCTATTTCTGTAAACACAAAGAAAATAAGGGCCTGGGGTAGCAGGTCTTGGAGAGAATATTTTAAGAACACTTAAGCCTGGGAGAAAGTTCAGTTTTATGATTAAGATTTGTTGCTGCTGCTATTTAAGTTGGCAATAAAGAAAAACATTACAAAGCCATCGTATTTGGATTTTAGCCAGTCAAAACTGTGTAAAATCCACTGGATTATAATAGGGTTGTAATAGCAGTCAGTAAGGGCATTGTTAGATATTCTCTCACCCTGGAACTGTCAATGGTAACATTCTTCATACTCTACAGGGCTCAAACAATTATGCTGAATGTAATGTTAAGTATTACCAGAATCCAAAAGTCTGATTTTTATCACTTGTTGCAAATGGCACAGATTATGCATATTACCTTTTGGAGTTTCCAGTGCTTATGAAACTTTTGATTTTGCTGTTGATGCACATATGCTAGAAGGAGAGAGGATGAATGTTGAATAAAATATATATTTTATTACAATTATGGAGACACATCTTGAGGCATCCATTTCTCATCAGATTATATTTATGATGAGCAAAAGAAAGTGGAAAGACTAGAGAACAGGTGATTATCGCATTCTGTTGTGCAGTTTATTCCCCAATTATGCAAACATTTCTGAAGTTCAAAAAGGGAAGCTGCTGAATGAGAGATGAATTGTAAAACAGAATCAGTGTCTTAAAAGATGTGAAGTGCTTTAACTGAAGAGCCATATACAGCTGTCACGGAGCTGGGTTTAAGAGTGGCAGTGATGCCCCTGGTAGCTCCGCAACCATGCAAGCTTTGCCCCAAAGGCACCCTCTTGTCTCACCTGCCACACCTTGTTGGTAAAATAAACTAGAAGGCTGCCCAGGGGTCTTCACTTGGACCCAGTCTGCTGAGCCCCAATCAAGCTCACAGGTTTTTGGGCCCTTTGCCAAGCCTCTCTTTAGTACCTTTTATAGTGTGCAGGGCACCTCAGGCTTTATGGGCCAATTGCCTGACTCCAAACCTCTTTACCATTCCCCAAGCATCATGGGTGTTACACAGTTATACCTTCCGTTGGGGCATCAGCCTACTCGACCTCCACCCTTTTAATGTAGCTAGGCCTCTTAGCCTAGATCCACTGTGTTGGGCTCAGCTTTGATGCACTAGCTCTGTCTCCTCTTGTCACCAGACCCCTGGCCCTTGTCTACTGTGCCCCTCTGGCACTTGGTCTTTCCAGCCCTCCAAAGCTCTCACCCCTCTGGCACTGGGGCTGTACACAATTGTGTGTCCCCATCTAGGCACTAATGAGGCCTCCTCCCCCCTTATTAGCCTCAACCCAGTCCAAACAATAACAAAGACCTAAGCCCCTGGACTATAACATAACACTAACAATAAAGACAGCACTCTGCCCCTTCAAGAGGGCAAACTCCCACCTTTAGAATAGCATAACATACCCCTTAGCCCTAGGTACCCTGTGAGCTCATAGGGCAGGGGCGGGCAATTCTTTTGGGCGGAGGGCCACGTACTGAGTTTTGGCAAGCCATCGAGGGCCGCATGATAGCCAGAGAGAGGCAGATAAACATTAATTTTCTAAATTTTTAGGGGCCCCATGGACCAGATAGAATGGCCGAGCAGGCCGCATCCGGCCCCCGGGCCACATTTTGTCCACCCCTGTCCTAGAGTCTTACTATAGTAGTTTCACAGTTGGTAGGGTCAGAAGGGACCTGAGCAGATCATCAAATCTGACCCCTTGCCTTGGGAGGAAAAAGTACTGGGGTCAAACGACCCCAGCAAGTTGTTCATCTAGCCTCCTCTTAAAGACCCCCAAGGTAGGAGCCAGCACCACTTCTCTCGGAAGTTGGTTCCAGATCCTAGCCACCCTGACAATGAAGTAGCGTCTCCTGATATCTAGCCTAAATCTACCCTCTGCCAGCTTGTGACTGTTATTCCTAGTTACTCCTGGTAGCGCTTGGGGAAACAGGGACTCCCCCAATGCCTGCTGGGCTCCCCTGACCAGTTTGTAAATGGTCACCAGATCCCCTCTCAGCCTTCTCTTTTGGAGGCTGAACAGGTTCAGGTCTCAGAGCCTCTCCTTGTAGGGCCTGCCCTGCTGCCCCTGATCATGCGAGTGGCCCTTCTCTGGACCCTCTTCATGTTGTCCACATCCCTCTTGAAGTGCAGCGCCCAGAACTGGACACAGTACTCTGACTGCGGCCTGACCAGTGGCACATAGAGGGGGAGGATCACCTCCTTGGACCTGCTTGAGATGCATCTGTGGCTGCATGACAAGGTACGGTTGGCCTTCCTGACTGCTTCCCCACACCATTGGCCCATGTTCATTTTGGCATCGATAATGACTCCAAGATCCTTTTCTGCCTCTGCACTGACAAGAATAGAGTTCCCCAGCCTGTAGGTATGCTGCTGGTTCTTCCTCCCCAGGTGCAGCACCTTGCACTTGTCAGTGTTGAAACCCATCCTGTTCTCATCCACCCACCCCTGTAACCTGTTTAGGTCTGATTGCAGCCTATTTCTCCCTTCTAGCGTGCCCACATCTTAAGTGTCCCCATAGCTTAGTGTCGTCTGCAAATTTGAACAGGGTGCTTTTTACACCTTCATCCAAGTCACCGATGAAGATGTTGAACAGTGCAGGCCCGAGGACTGAGCCCTGTGGAACCCCACTGTCCACATCCCTCCAGGTCAAAATGACCTGTCCACCACCACTCTCCGGGTGCAGCCCTCCAGCCAACTAGTGACCCCTTTGACTGTGTAGGTGTTGACTCCACAGTCCTCTAGTTTTTTAAAGAGAATGGGGTGAGAGACAGTGTGGAAAGCCTTTCTAAAGTCCAGAAAGACTATGTCCACTGCTACACCTGCGTCCAAGGATTTTGCGGCCTAGTCACAGAAGGCCACCAGGTTAGTCTGACAGGACCTGCTTCTGATGAACCCGTGCTGGTTCAGAGATGGCAAAGCAGGCAGCCAGTTGCATCAAGCAGCTCTCTTGTGCAGGCACTTTCTCCTTGCAGTTGCAAACGAGTGACCCCAGCCAGTCCTGGCTCTGAGCTTCTATGTCCCTGGACTCTGATCCCCTTCTGGTCAGCTGACCACCTGCAGGTGCTGGCTAATTACCTTGTTAGCCTCTTAAGCAACCTGCCGCTGTGGCTCCTTCTGCCATTAAAGGCGCAGGCACACCTTGGTGTCTTGTGACAATAACATAATTGTATCCACCAACATTTATTGTAGATGCTGATAAATTTATCATAGCTGATTTATGGCCCAATTAAATCAGTGGTAAATATCACAGTGGTTTCAAGCCAACAAGTGTAAAATGATGACAGCTTAAAGGAGGGCTGTCCAACTGGCAGGTTACGTGATGCCTCCAAGGGGCTACCTGTGGTCCCCCAGCTCCTTGTCTGGGTGTTGCTCCCCTAACCACTCCAGCTGCTGCTGTTACCACCAGAGTCTCTGGGCCCCTCCCTCCTCCAGCTTCCATTTCTTGCCCTCAGCCCTGGGGTTACGCAGGGAGATGCAGCTGAGGGAACCTGTGGCCAGAAGGCTCAGGGTAGGATTCTGTGGGATAAGGGAGGGGTGACATTGTGTGGGGGGAGGTGCCAGCTGCACAGTGGGAGGGCCATGGGCACAGTATCCAGGAGTGCTGGCATGGTGCAGTGGAGGGATCCCTGCCATGCAATGCAGCCAAGGGATTCACAGAAGTTTAGGGCTGGAAGGGACTTTGTGAGATCATCAGGTCCAGATGATTGCAACCTGTGCAGCCCTGGCTTAAAAAATGGTGCATCATTGCCTATATATGGGCTTTAGAATATTTTCGTATGTATTTTGTAACACTAACTACTCAGAACTTTATCATTATAAACCTAAGAAATCTACCCTGTTTCTACATAGGAACCAAAACCAAGAATGAAGACTTTACTACTGAACAGAACACATTAAAGGTGAAAGTAATTTGGTTAAAGCTTTATCACATCTTCTGTCCTCAGAACCTGCCTTGTACTACATAGAAGACTCGCTATAAAAGGTACTTTCATTGTGCGCTGCAGATACTGCTACATTTTAAAAATAATATGCAAAAGACTCAGTGACTTGAAAATAGCTTAGGCCAATTTCTCACCTTCACTCCCCACTTGTGGCCAAAAAAGAGGAGTCTGCAATTCCCTGATACTGAGGCCAGTCCTATAATCTCAAGAACCTGCCATTTGGGGAACACTAAAGAGCTGAGGTGGTCCAGCCACACTCCTCATCTCAGCACCCTCCCATTCTGGGATCCAAAAGGGCAACTGACACTTTCAGTTCTCTGCAGGTAGGTCTCCTTTCCACTAAGGAAACACCCAGATTCTCTGCACTGCCATAGCAGCAAAAAGACACCAGATTACAACCCAGAATCTGACCCTTGTTTTCAATTTGTGATTTTTACTCAATGGCCACTGTTGTATATTGTCAATATTGCCTGCCCCTGAGAAAATTAAGCAATTACCATATTCCTGTATATGCATTCTTCCTGCTAAATTCCCTGGGGAAATCCTCCTTTTGTGTTCTATTTTCCTTTCTTTATCTGTGTCTTCTTTTCCCCAGAGTCAGATATCTCCTTCTTCCTCTTGATTACATATTTATCTGGAAAGCAATGAAAAGCATATGAACAAAGGAACTGCCAAACTAAGTCAACTGAGTCCAAGGTACACATCGTTCTATAAGAACTCAGTGTTAGGGTCATGCAGAATAATCTGTCCCTGACATTGTATCTCATTCTGGTCTCTAACAGTTATACTGTGAAGCAAGAGATTCATAGCTTCATAGATATTAGAGGTTTGACCAGACCTCTTGAGATCATCAGGTCCAGCCCCCCCGTGCTTGGGCAGGAAAGACTGCTGGAGTCAGATGACCCCAGCAAGGTGTGTGGCCAGGCATTTTTTGGAGATATCCAGAGTAGGTGATTGTACCAATTCTCAGGGGTCTATTCTAGACCCTGGACACTTGAGTTGTAAAGAAGTTTTTCCTTATGTCTAATCTAGCAATTTTTGACTGTTAGTCCAAGTCTTGCCCTGGGGAATCTGGGTGAACAGACATTCTCCCAGTCCCTTATATGAGCCCTTTATATATTGATAGGCTGCCACCAAGGCCCCTCTGAGACTTCCCTTCTCCAGGCTGAATAGAACCATGTCTCTCAGCCTCTCATCATATGGACTGCTCTCCATACTTCTAACCATATGGGTAGCCCTTCTTTGGCCCCTCTCAAGCTTTTCCACATCCTTCCTGAAGTGTGATGCCCAGAACTGGCCACAGTACTCCAGTTGTGGCCTCACCAATGCTGAGTAAAGAGGGAGGATGACATCCTTAGTCTTGTTTGAGATGCCTGTAGCTAGGCTGGAGGCTGGCAGGGGCCTGCAGCAGCCTGGTCAGCCTGCAGGCCTGCAGAGTGCGGGCCTGGCAGGCATGCAGCACAGCAGGCCCAGGCAGTGGCACTGGGATGCAGGCAAGATAAGACAGCTGGCCTGTGACCTGCCAGAAAGACCCAAGGGCCTGGATTGGCCTCAGGCTCCCTGCTGCTTTTCCCCAGGGCTCAAAATGCCTGGAGGCTTTTAAAGCTTGAGGCAGGGGCTACCACAGAGGCTGCCCAGCTCTGGGGCAAGAGAGGCTTTTAGCCCAGGGCCCTGGGGTGAGCCTCAGGCTGGCCCTCTAACAGCAGGTCTGATCCAGGAGCAAACTTGCTCCCGGGTTATGTGTACACATGCATAAATATACAGTAACTAATTGCATGTAAATTTGCTATCTGCATTTGCAGATAGCAAATTTACTCGCAATTAAGCATTTTTATTGTGCAAGTATGCCTGCACACTTCCAGATGCATGTGCTTGCTGCACAGTAAACTATACTACTGCGCAGTTAAGCTTCTCGTGTAGATGTGCCCAGTGATCTCTTGGATGTGGACCTAAGCCAGTGGAATGAACTATCTCAGAAACTGAAAACCATCACACATCTCATCCCTTTCTGCTCTTAGTGCCAATTGCCAAGCATATTTCTTTGACCTTAAATAAGCATATCAAAGTACTTATTATTAAAAACAAAATCCAGAACAAACCCTTCAATCGCATACACGTCTACCTGGAGAGGAGGAGAGAGAACAAGTACGTAACACATGTTCGTGCCATCTACTTTTTAAAGTTTGCTTTAAGGTGGGGTGGAAATTTAAAGCACCTCACTATTTATTCTGGAATAAGAGTGCCTTGTTCATGTTCAGTTCAACCAACTTTCTAGTGCCTGCTGCTGCTCATGCTGACAAGTATGGACTCATTGTTTCCTTGTCCTCTGGGTCTGGCCAACTCCATCTCTTGTTCCTTGTTTGACATTTGGGCCGCAGGCACACAGGGACTGTGTTTGTCTAACACCTCGCACACCTCTTCCTGGTCCACAGAGTCCCAGGGCATTGCGTGAAGACAAATACAATAAGAAAAAGGAGCGGGCTGTTGAGAAGAGCATTCTGGAAGAGCTCCACGTGGAGACGATGGCTTAAGGTGCTGGTGGAAGGTGCTCAGATCCTCCCGCGATGAAAACCTACGGGGTATAATCAACCCCCCTCAAGGGAAGCTTCCCGGGTAAGTTCACTCTACCACCGTACTTGGTTTTCAAGCAGCTCACGCGGCGATGCCGCCCGGGCTGGCACCCCTGTCGCCCGCCGGGGCACCCTCTGGCTCTGCGCTGGCGGGAGGCTCAGGGACCCGGCGGCGGGGCAGCGCTGCCGGCCGG